GATATAAATCTGAAAGATTTTTTATGTAGATAAAAAATTACACAATAAATATATTTTTGGATATCTAGCTTGAAATGACTTGAAGTGTAATCCAAAGTGTCAATCATCATTCAGACTGCCCTATATATATATTTAGTGGTGTTGGATTGAAGCTCTAAAAACACATAGATTTCTCAGCTAGATATTTTAGTTTTCTTTTCCTAGCAACTCTTTTGAATTTTTTGATCCCTGATGAAGAAAATATCAATCTACTGTTTTTTCCTCGGAAAGAATGCTCAGACTTTTTTTTTTTATTAGTAGCAAATAAATAGACTGTTAAAAACAATCATGGACCAGCAGACAACAAAAATCATGTGTGAACATATATGTTATAAAATGGAAATAAAAAAAAAAACCAAACGCAACCCACCTATTTGATAACTTCTGACTTGGATACAATCTCTTCCTTTTAAGATACTGATAATTTTGAGAACTATTTTGGAATTCTGAGATGTGTGCTGTATCCAAATTCCTATTTTGCTAACCAGAGCCTTTCGTATCTACCTATATGTCTTCATAGCAAATATCGCTGTTCAGTACATTCCATTGAGTGATGATCCCTAAGTTTATGATAGTATTCTTTGATATCTCTTTCAAAAGCGAAAACTGTATAATTATGGTTTTATTATACTTTTCTCATCAAGAAATTCTACTAATGGAATGTACTGTGTTTCCCATTTTATTGCCATCTTTGCCTTAGTTATATCATTTTACTAGTTGGTTTTCATAATCAGCACAATAACATCTTTAATGCTAATATTATGAAATTTTATTTTTAATTCATAAAATTACATTTTTTCACTGATAATCTTAACAAGCAGTTTCATTTTCCATGATAAAATTTCATGTACAAGTTTGAAATGGGATTTCTTTTTTTAATTTAAGAATTAGTAAAGTAGTATATTAAAACAGAAAATGAAATTATCCTAGTGTGTAGTTTTAGTGGTAGCATCATTTTTATGGTATAAAGGCATTACTTTTTGATTCTCTTTTAATGATGCCATTGAAATATTTCTTCCGAAAAGTTTCAAAAGAAGGAAGAGAATATGGAAAATGGGCTTTTGTGGGAGAGAAGCTAATTGATCTATTTCAGACAGAAAAACGTAATGGCATTCAAACACTCTTACTACTTATAAAATAGAGGCTGTGCCTTATATTGGTGAATAATTTGAACCAATAGTCTCTATACTCTTCTTAGCTATAATGCTGCTTGTTTTTTCTACTTACTTTTAATTCATAAATAATGTATTGCCTTTTTACTGTGTATTGTCCTTTAATGATATCTTTTAAAATTTATTTTAAAGTCTTCAAGCTCATGTGTCATTTTTACCTTCTTACCACTTTCGCTTTTTACTGTCTGGTTTGTGTCCTTCATTGGCTTGGCCTTCCAATACTGTGCCTCGTGATTTTGAAGGCTACAGAAACTTGAGGAAAGCAATCGAGAAGAAAGAAGGTTGGAATATTTCCCAGGTTTTTAATTGAAATGTCATTTAACTACTTAGTTACCATTCACAAAGAAATGTGTTATAGATTGTTTCAGACTAGACTAGCTATTTGCTCTTAAGAGTAAAATTGATTGTATTTATTATAGCAAATAAAAACATGGCCTTTAAAGAATAAAACCTTCACTAGTTATATGAATTAAAATTCAACAATTTCATGCAATTTCAAAATAAACTGCCATGATTTTAGTGGTAACTTCTTTGTCTAAAAATTACCAAAAACATATCAATTGACTTGTTGGAAGGAAACTCGGTTCTTCTGTTATCTTCAGAAACTTGCGAGCAAGCTGTGAATTATTAACTGGGTGGGAATTCACATTTTGTGACAACACATGCTAAGTCATTGGGTGGTCTTCTCTTTTTCTTCCTTATTTGGTGTAGTCTTTATTGGAAACACACATATAACATAAAAGTAAAAGGAACTGTGGCCTTACTACAGATAAGATTGAAAGCTATCTTAAAATTAATATAGAAAAACAGCTTTTACTTTTAAAGTGTATTTAAAATGAGCAAAACATTATGATATTCTCTTTTTCATTCCTTTTAACATTTGAGTAAGGTTTAAAGTATTTCTTAATCCTTTACATAGTAAATAGTATTTTACCAATTTAAAATTGTGGTTATTTTAAAGGCTCAGGTATTCTTTTATTTCCTTTTATCAGACTATTTTTTTCATAAACAAATTTCTAGATCATACAGACAGTATAATTAAGGAAAAAAATGCCAAACTAACTTCCAAATAATATTTATGTAATACTAAGTAACATTATAAATGATGTTTAAACAATGGCACTTTGGAAATTTTATCTCTTCCGTAACAATAAACTTTTTTGAGAACCTTTAATAAGCAATAGTAAGTTAAACTAATATTTTACTTTAAGCGTCATCCACTTCCTAAACAACATGCCTCTGGAAACTCTCTGAACTTTGACAAATGTTGATAGTTATAGAAAGGCTCCAGGCCTTTTGTTCTTAGGGTCACTATGAGATGTGCTTGACTCGAAGGCAATCAACAACAACAACAATCTAAAAGCTTAAAAATTGTACTTATGTTAAAATATTCTATTCTTTGTATTCAAGAATTATATTTTATATATAATGGAACACACTAGAGTTTTATGAGCTCTAGTGCTATCGTGGTAAGAGGTCATATTATATTCCCAAAGGCAAATAGTTTAAATCCACTGCTCCATGAGGGAAGGGTGGTCAATCACCTCTGAAAACCAGCTGGAGGCTAGCTATGGATTGGTTCTGACTTGACAACACAGGAAAAACCTTAGCTTCTTTAGAGTGTTCTATAACTATATTAGACTATAACTAGAATATATGTGAAAACCAGAACCTGACATCTGTCAGAAAAGGAAAACTATTTTCCACTAAAGTGAATGCTAGAAAAGTGATAAGGTGGCATTCTGTCAAAGGTGGGGACCTGGAAAAAAACAAGGTAGCCCATTGAGTTCTGGCTTTAATAAGTTTTACTGTAATTCTAATTATCTGTAGGTCACACTGCAAACTTTTGGTACATTTATCATACTGATTAAATTAAAACATCAGCACTGTGAAATTTCCATTTTGGAAAGTCATAGTAGATGCAAAGCTAAGAGTATTGTGTATACATATTTTTCTACCTTAATATATTCGGGTCTCATCAAGTTGATTCTAATTCTTAGTGACCCTCCACTGAGTTCTGGTGGCTGTAAATCTCTGTGGGAGGAAACTAACCAACTGTTCCCTTGGAGCAGCTTTGGATTCGAACTGCTGACCTTTCAGTTAGATCGCAACATGAAAAATGCTATGCCATCAGGGCTCCTTTAATATATTTAGTTCCTAGAGGGTAATTAATTATGTCCAAATTTTACATAATTTATAAAGGATTCCAAAAGCAGAGTAGTTTGATTTGCTACGATAATGCTTCTTAATCAGATGTGCCTACAAATCATGTTAGGATTTCACTACAACTTGTGATTCATGAGAACTGAAATGGAGCCAGAGCTTCTGCGTTTCTAAAAAGCTGTGTGATGAAATGGATTTTTCCCAAACTGTTGACTGACCTTTGAGTACAGGCTTTGAGAATAACTAGCCTCAGGGCCAGGACACTTTTAAGTCTACTAACTTCCCCAGGCCACAGTTTCTTTTTGGGTTGTCAAATGAAGGGCTTAATCTGCATTATTGCTAATGTTCTTTCTGGCTCCAAGATTCTGATTCTGTATATGTACCAAAGTGCAAGCATCAATCTCTCCCTTTGCTACTTAAATAGTTATGATATATATCAGTTTTCTTCAGTTAATTGGAAAAATGTGAATATTTAAGGTACAAGCAGTCTTCAGATTATGAATGTCTAATTTAGCTACAGCTACAACCGTAGTTATTATGACTGTTGCATTATAAAGCTGAGATATATACGATGGTTTATAATAATAAATGAGAGCATCAAAACATTATAAGAACTAGATTACTATGTTAAAGATGTTATAATGTATCTAGAAGTGTTTTGTTAATGGTTTTGTGTATAGGAGGATACACTATATACTATACATAAAGTCAAATATTTGATTAACTGAAATTAGATATGAACCATACCTCTTTCAAATTATATACAAATTCTACTTAAAGTCAGATTAGGAAATTCTACTTAAAGTCAGATTAGGAATGGAACTCATTCATAATTCAGAGCTGCTTGTACAACAATTATTAAGTGTCATTATATTTTGAAATTATAAATCTTGAAAGTGATCTGTAAAGATAAATTAGCTGGATTCCCTGCATCAGAAAGTGACATGACCAACTTAAAGCATGTGAGTTAACTTAGTATGTAAATGCAATGTGTTAAGATAGATATTAGTGTAAGAGGAATTAGGAAGGTGGGCTACGTGAAGTGTTCAGAATAGGTGACTGTTAATAATAACCTGAGTAAAGTGAGTTTGATTTAGACCTTGAGGTAACAAAGGAACATACAATACATAACATGCACACTGCAACAGTGGTATGTGAGAAAAAGAAACTACAGACCTACAGAGAGAGAGGTTTCTGGAGGTGGACCAAAGCAATGTAGAATGTTTGTCTTTTCTTGTCCTGCGACTGAAAAGATTCTCTTTTCCATGCCTTAAATTTTATACCTAAATCTAAAGTACAGCATCTGTTTGGGTGCATGCTGCTGACTTTTTAATTGCAGAATTGGATCAAAGAGGATTTCTTTCTAGGTTTTCAACAATTTGTGAGAATAGGGCCCTAAAGCAAAACGTTAGAGTTTCTGCAATAGTTTTTGCTAGAAGAGAAGAAAGCCTCATTTACTACTGTTTTAGAATTATTACAGTGCCTTAAGCCTCAGAACCCCAATTGAAGGTCACCAAGAGTCAGCATTTATTTGACAGCACTGCGTTTGATTTTTGGTTTTGATTTTCTATCACATTGTACAAGATCTCCAAAGTAGAATTAGTCTGTGAGTCTTTACATATGAATTCAGTAACTTACTAACTTATTTCTGTCCTGTTGGAACTAACTCAGAGCTGAGCCTCCAGTGAGTTTTCAGGTGGTTGTAAATTGCATGGGAGGAGCTTGACCTTCTTTCTCCCTTGTAACCACTAGAGAATTTGAACTGCCAGAGATGCCACGTTTGTGTTAGTAGCACAACCTTTATGGATTAAGCCATCAGAGCTCCCCGGTGTTTAATAAAGGATACAATATTATGTTTACAGGTGTAGTCTAGCTAATTCCATAAAAGGAACAGTCCAGGGATAGATAGCTTAAATAAAAGAACTTGAATACTTTCCTTTTCTTCCTTCTCTAAAGAACATAGAACGATTGCTTTCTTAGTGTAAAGTGAGACCTAATTCACCTTGTAGCTCCTTTTAATTCTTGACCATTGCTTTTTCAGGTTTTATTTCTTACCCCCATTAGAGCATATTATTGTGCATTTTATTGACATTTAAAAACGGAACACTTTAGCCTCAAAGCTAAAAATAAGCTTAGTATTAGAAGAATAACCTGACATAGCAGAATATCTGAAAAAAATGATAGCTTTATGAATCTCTTTGACAAAGCCCTTTCAAGGAGAATTTCAGTTGGAGACTGTCGCTTTATTTGCACATCTGGTGACATAGTCCACAAGGAGCTGAGCTGCTGACTCAAAGGCCACACCTCTCTGGTGGTTAGAATCCCCCGGTGGCTCTGAGGGGAAATGATGTATAATCTCCTTCTGGGCAATTTGTAGACTCAGAAACTCATTAGAGGGGTCAGCTTATGAGTCAAGGCCAACCTGGCAAGAATGAGTTTGAATTTTGTTGATATATATTCTCAACAAGTAAAAATAATAAACATTTATATGGCACAAAAAATTTTAAATGTAGATTAATTTAAAGTTTTCTTTCTTAATATCACTTAGCTTCTTTAAAAGTATTGAATAGCAGTATAACTTAATTTCTAGTTGCTAAATTGAAAAAAGGACTGATTTGATATGAATGTGCAAACTTGGTTCACTTTAGAATCTGCTAGTTACTCAGGGCCACCAGGTAAATTAATTTAGCTATTACTGTTACCTGGTACTATCGTTCAGGGAATTAATTAATTAAATAAGTAATCAATCTTGGGGATTCTTACCAAGTCAAAGGCAGTTCTGTAGTAGAAAGGTTCTTTTTTGTGAGAACATAATGGGCCATAAGTTTTGTATTGTAGGGATGGCCTAGGGACAAGAACTGGTGCTGCAACAGAAAAGAGACCTGGACAATCTCAGTGGATATATCTAATGTAGATGTGATGAAGGGGTCCAGACTTAGGATCATTCCAGTTATTTGTATATTTATTTGGGTAGCAGTAAAAGTAAAATTTTGATGTAGCTTTGTGTTTAACTTGAAAAAGTTTTCATAATTAGGTTAGAAAACCTTTTTTGCCCCTTGGGTCCCTCCTCTGCCCATCCCTTAAGTTTAAATTCCTTTTGGTTCTAGGTCTTAGGTTATTTATTTGACTAGTTCTTAGCTCCCTTAGCAAGTCTCATGCTTCAAGGAATCATATGTTCCTCAGAGTTTCTAGAGAATATACTTTTCTTTAGGACTTTAATAACTGTTCTGTTAACTGAGTGATGTTCTCTGTTCCTCTGAAGCATCAGATATTACAACTCCTTTCAATTAAAATGTCAACTCATTTTGTTTCTTTTTTTAATTGATGCCTTTTAAAATTCTGAGAGAAAAAGTTAACACATATTTATCTTTTTTCTTTTTTTTTTTTTTTTTTAGTGTAACTGGTAAAGAAGACAATACTGACACTGACCAAGAGAAGAAAGAAGAAAAAGGTACTTCAGAAAGAGAAAACAATGAATTGGAATTGGTAAGTAGGAGAGAATGAACTTGTTCTTGGTTGCGGGTGATGGTATTAATTTATAATGTACTCAATAGAAACTCTTTCCTCAAGGAATTTATTTCCTCAGAAACTTGAGCCCTAAAATCTTGGTGACTCTTAGTATTGAGTATTGTGAAAGCATTTGGTGGATTTGAAAGGGGTGATATATTATTATGAAAGATCAAGTTGGTTTAAGACAAAATTATTTTGCAGTAACTAAAACCTTGGAATTCTAAAAATAATTTACAGAAAGTACAGTAGTCGCCCTTCTGTACTTCAGTGATCCCTTTGTTAGAGAATTTGTTTTCTTTGCCAGTATTATCTTGTTGCACAACTTAAATTTTAGGAAGAAGGTCAAGAAGTAAGTGATCATGAGGATGAGGAAGAAGAGGAGGAGGAGGAGGAAGATGACATTGAAGGAGGTGAAAGCTCTGATGAATCAGATTCTGAATCAGATGAAAAAGGTACCTGCCACATAGTACGTGGAATGCTTTTTGGGAACTTGTTTAAACTGAGATAGAAAATGCTTAACATTTACCATTTTTTTAAAAAACTGTGGTTCTTGAGAATATACATTGTAAAACATACACTAATTTCTGCATGTGCAAGCTAGGGACATTAATTTTACCTTCGAGTTGTCAGGCCATCCACACCCTCCTATTTTGAGTTATTCCTCTCCATTAACCTTCTTAATATTACTGCCTCCTAAATTTCCTATCTAATCTTTCTAATTGGAGTTGTCAGTTTGATCATATAGATAGATCTAGAAAGAGCACAGTTCCCAAGGTGGACGTTCGTACTAGTTAAGCTAAGCTATTGTTTGGTTGTTAGGAATACTTCAGGATACTTGGTATTAGGAGTACTTTGGGATATTTTTAACTTATATTTTTAATGAGTAGCAGAGAATAATAGTCAGTGTTGTTGTTGTGTTTTTGTTTTGATTTTTTTTTCCCAGTCACCACAGCTCCAGAGAGACTAGAGTCCATCAGAATTTAAAATTCTGTTCTATGTTTTCCCCATTTTGATAAAGATTTTTCTATAGAATCTTTGATCAAAATGTTGAATAATGGTAGTTGGGCACCATCCAGTTATGACCTTATAATAAAGGGGGCAGATTTTCCTGCCGACAATTAATCATACATTCCATAACCTCCTTTCCTGGCTTTGCTTTTTTCTATTTCTCTCCAGGTGAATAAGAGACCAATTGTAGAAACTATGCTAGGTGGAGACCTGTCAGAGAAGAAGAAGACTAATTTTCTACTATATAAAAGTAATAAGTGTCCTGACAAAAATAGGGAGCTTATTGTTGTTGTTGTTGTTGTTATGTGCCATCGAGTCGCTTGGAGCTTGTAGGACACAAGAAAACAAGGCAATCCAGTCAAGTTCTGACTCTCACATGTTTTACTGTATCTTGAATGACTACTTGTAAGCTTTGGATTCTAAGCACTATGCAGCAAACAAGGAAGTAGAATGTTGCTATTGTTGTGTACAGTCGAGTTGGAACCTATCCATAGCTGACCCTCCACTGGGTTTTCAGACGCAGTTAAACACATGGAAGGAGATTGCCCATCCCCTGCAGAACAGCTGGTGGCTTCAAACCATGTGCCTTTGAGATTGCAGCATACCTTCTTACCACTAGGCCACCAGAGCTCCGGGAAGTAGAATAGAAGCACCAAATACATTTGTTGCTGTTGTTGTTGTTGTCGTTGTTATGTGCTGCCGAGTCACTTGTGACTCATAGCAGCTCTGTGTACAACAGCCCTAAGCTCTGCTCTGTTCTGTGCCAATTTCACTGTCTCCAATATACCCATCCTGATTACCCCATCTGTCCATCTCCCAGAGGGCTTTCCCCTCCTGCACCTGCCCTCCACCCTCCCAAGCATGATGTCCTTCTCTAAGGACCGGTCCCTCCTTATAACATGACTAAAGTATGTCAGATGAAGCCTCAGAATCCTTGCCTCCAAGGAGCAGCCCGGTCCTCTCCAGGATGAATCTGTTTGTTTTCTTGGCAGTCCATGGTACATTCAGTACTCTTCTCCAACACCAAAGCTCAAAGGCATCAATTCTCCTTCTATCCTCCCTAGTCATTGTCCAAGTCTCTGATGCATAACAAGTGATTGCAAAGACCATGGCCTGTATCAGACACACCTTAGTCTCCAGAGAGACACCATTGCTCTTCAGTACTTTAGAGAGGTCCCTAACAACAGACTTTCCCATTGCAATAAGTCTTTTAATTTCCTGGCTGCTGGTGCCAAGAGTGTTGATTGTGGAGTCAAGCAGATTAAAGCTGTGAACAACCTCAATCTCTTCACCATCCATCCTGATGCTGCCAATTGGTCCAGTGGTGAGAATCTTTATCTTCTTGACATTGAGCCTCAATCCATATTGAAGGCTGCAGTCCTTGACCCTCTGCAGCAAGCACTTCAGGTCCTCCAAATACATTAATAGACTAATTAACAGGGATATTTCATGAAACCCTGGCCTTAAATCTCCAAGCCCACTAGGCAAATCCCATTTAGTACTTGTTTATAGATTAAACACCTTAGCATTCAAAACTTCACTGCCATCAAGTCAGAACTAACTCATAACTGGCCCTGTACTGGGTTTTCATGCCTGTAAATCACACATGAGGAGATTGCCACAGGTGGATTTGAACCAATACAGATGACTGGCCATTGGGTTAGGAGCGACTAGACTGTACCACTTGAGCTTCCTTAAGCAGCCTAAGAACCAGCTCATTATACATTTGCTTATTTGTTTTGTTGTAAATATGTATCTTTCATGCAACTTTTGCTAATCCAACTTTTTAGAGGTATACAACTTACTGAGAACAATTACTTTAGTCAGCCATTCAATTCTGTCCTTAACCAATGTGAATTTTTGTCACTGTAAACCTAAGCTCTGATTTTCCTCCGCTCTTGTACCCTTGGTAATTACTAAGAAACTTAGATTTCTACCCATTTTCTTGATTTTGCCTTTTTATGACTTAGCCATATTTATTCTTTCATGAGTGACTTTTTGTTTCCCATTCAGCATAATGTTTTTAAGCATCATCCCTGCTGTAGCATGGGTTAGGACTTGAGTTCTCTCACTGGCTACTTGTATATCTCTGTATGTATGTACCACACTTTGTTTTTCTGTTTATCTCTTGTATGTTTTGGTTGCTTCCATCTTTTTTGCTGTTGTAAAGTATCCAGCACTAAATATACGTACATAATTATCTGAGTCTCTATTGTCCCAATTTGGGGTATGGACCTATGGATAGAATTGGTAGGCCATCTGAAAAGGAAATTTCTTAGCTGTTGACCCATATAATATGTCCCCTCAGTCTGATTTACTTAAACAAGTGAAGATGTTAGTGGTTTTTATTCTTATATATTACAATTGGTATCTGATATTCCTGATCAATGTAGGTCACCTTTACCTTGTTCATATTTATAACTTTAGTTTTTCTTACAGCTACTAAGTGAATTCCTGGATATAGATGCATTTTGAGCTTTTATTTACAAGCAGGAATGATGATATCATGACTTATTTTCAGTACTTTTACTTTCTTTCTTTTTTAAAATAGCTAATTATCAAGCTGACTTAGCAAACATTACTTGTGAAATTGCAATCAAGCAAAAGCTTATTGATGAACTAGAGAACAGCCAGAAAAGACTGCAGACGCTGAAACGGCAGTATGAAGAGAAGCTAATGATGTTGCAGCATAAAATTCGGGACACCCAGCTTGAAAGAGATCAGGTGCTTCAAAACTTAGGTAAGAATTGATTAGTTCAAATGAATTCAACTGTCAAGGAGAGTTGTTTACTTTAAAAGCAAAAAAAATGTCAAAAACCACAAATGAAAACTCCAACTCAATGCCAGTCAATTGATTCTGACTCCTGGTGATGCCATGTGCCAGAAGCCATATACTGAATGTTAACTTATATTAAAAATTATTCCTTTCATTTGCCACCCTGGTATCTGTATAGACTAATTATTTTGACTAAGGAGCTCTGGTGGCCTAGTGGTAAGAAGCTGTGCTGCCATCCTGAAGGGATGTGGTTTAAATCCACCAGCGACACTGGGAGAAGGATGAACAGTCTCCTCTCGTGTGATTAAAGGCCTCTGAAAACCCGCTGGAGCATCCACCATGGGTTGGTTCCAACTCTATGGCACTCAACAACAAGGCTGTTACTATCTTGATTTATGCTGGGATCATTGAAAAAGAAAAAATTTAAAAGAGGATTTTAAAAATTATTAAACTATATAAAATTAGATAATAAAAGTGATTGAGAGACATGCTATTCTCCTGAGGTCTGTGTTTGGAAAAACTCAACAATTTTTTAAGATCCTAAATTATACATTTGTGAACTAAAAAGCCATTATCTCATACAGAATATAAATATTTCGGTAATTTAGGTTCAGTGGAATCTTACTCAGAAGAAAAAGCAAAAAAAGTTAAATCTGAATATGAAAAGAAACTCCAGGCTATGAATAAAGAATTGCAGAGACTTCAAACAGCCCAAAAAGAGCACGCACGGCTGCTCAGAAACCAGTCTCAATATGAAAAGCAGCTGAGAAAGTTGCAGCAGGATGTGACGGAAATGAAAAAGACTAAGGTATTGGTCATATTTTCCATGAATACTTGAAACTGAGGCTGTTTGTATCATTTGGGACCCCAGACCCCTCCTATTTAGCATGGTTCTCTCTACGTTCAATAAAAGGTATCCTCGTCTTTTTATAAAGGATGTGCTTCCCTTTGGCAAGTAGAAATTGTTTTCTTTATCCATCCATCCATCCATCCATCCATCCATCCATCCATCCATCCATCCATCATCAAATCCTTGCTTCAGAGCAGCTTAAAATCACGTAGTCAGTATGTCTTCTCAGAGATTGCTATTTTTCCTCTGAAAACTTGTACACAGTGAACAAAAGTATAAAATATGTAAAACTTAGAAAATTACATTGATAATAACAATGAATGCCATGCATGATCAAATTTAGTAAATTATACGTTAAAGATACACTTAAATCTCTTTATATTTACCGTCTTAGTCATATTCTTCTTTTTCCAAGGGGTAGAGAGTATCTTGAATTGTTTATACTCCCATGCATTTTTTCCTTGACCAGAGAGAACTATGTATCCTGATCTAGTTCCCATTTTTTTTTGTGAGATTAATTACACTTAAATCAGTGTAGTTTCCTAACTTAGCAAATATAGAAATAATGTAAGAAATAATTTGACTTTATGTTGTATAATTGCTGTTATAAACTGGAACAATTAATATCTATTAGATGTTTTTATGTGCTGTGCTACTAAATGAAAGTTTGAGAGAAAGTTGCGAAACCTCTTCTCATCAAGCTTTACAGCTTCAGAGACCTGATGATGGGCCACTGTGAGCTGAAATTTACTTGAGAGAAGTACGGTTTTGAGTATTAAGGGCTTACTATATGCCAGGAAAGTACTGTTATTAAGCACTTTACAGATAATAGATCTTCTCAACAATACGATGTATAGTAAAGCAATTATCCCTATTTAATATATGAGGAAATCAAAGCTATAAAATTACTCATTCAAGGTTGACTTCTGATAATTTCTGATAGTAGACTAGGTAACAAAACTTCATTCACCTGAATAGCCATATATTGAACACATATATAAAGCACTAAGTGATTGGACAGAAATGAAGTTTCTATAATATATCTGCAAATATAAGAAGTGTGCATTTCAAATATGTGGCAAAACTCACTACGCTAAGAATTCTGAATTCTTAAGAATTTCCTTTCACATGTATTGTTGGCTTAGCATATGAGGCAGTAGAATCATTTTAATAATTGTGTACGTCTAATGTCTTAGGTTCGCCTAATGAAACAAATGAAAGAAGAACAAGAGAAGGCCAGATTAACAGAATCTAGAAGAAACAGAGAGATTGCTCAGCTGAAAAAGGATCAGCGTAAAAGAGATGTGAGTAAATGTTACCTCTCAGTTATATAAGAATAAAGGAAACCTTGTGTACCCGGGAAAGAGTGTTTATTTTACTTTTCAAAGAGAGGAGCGAACTGGGTTGTGGTGGGGAGGGCTGGGCAGGTAGAGAAGTGCAGCAATGAATGAATGGAAATCCAAAATCTCTGTAAATGTTCATTAAAATTATTTAAATAAAAAAGAAAAGCAAAAAAAAAAATAATAAAGGAGACCCCTGTGGTACAGTTAGTGACTGATAACTGAAAAGTCAACAGTTCAATCCTACCTGGATGCTCTGATGCTCTGAGGAAGGGATATGTGACCATCCACTCCCATAGAAATCACTGCCAAGAAGACACTGTGAGGAAGTGCTGCTCTGTCACACGGGTTGCTAAAATCTGAGTTCACAGTACTTTACAAACAACAACATGCAAGAATCATGCAAATTAAACAATATTTTAAAATAACTAGAACTCTTTCATGTAAGTTAAAGATACTAAATGAACATTGTTTTTGTTCTTAAGTGCCGTTGAGTTGCTTGTGACTCACAGCGACCCTATGTACAAGAGCCCTAAACCCTGCTCTATCCTGTGCCAACCTCACTGTCTCCGAAACACCTATTCCCATTACCCCAGTCATTGAATCAATCTACCTTATTGAGGGTCTTCCTCACTTGTTCTGTCCCTCCACCCTCCCAAGCATGATGTCCCTCTCCAAGGAGTGGTTCCTCTTTGCAACATGTCCAAGTATGTCAAACAAAGCTGCAGAATCTTTGCCTCCAAGGAGCAGCCCAGTTTCACCCTCTCTAGGACAAAACTGTTTGTTCTCCTAGCAGTGCATGGTATATTCAACACTCTTCTCCAGCACCACAGCTCAAAGGCATCAATTCTCTTTCTATCATCCCTAGTCACTGTCCAGCTCTCTGACACATAGCATGCAATTGCAAAGATTATGGCCCGGATCAGGCACATTTTAATCTCCAGCCTGACGTTGTTGCTCTTTGGTAGTCTGGAAAGGTCCCTGACAGCTGGCTTTCCCAATGTAATTCATCTCTTGATTTCCTGGTTGCTGGTACCAAGAGTGTTGATTGTGGAACCAAACAAACTAAATCTGTTAGCAATCCGAAGGTCTTCACCATCCATAATGATGCTGCCAATTGGCCCAGTGGTGAGAATCTTAATTTTCTTAATGTTGAACTTGAATCCATATTGAAGGCTGCAGTCCTTGACCTTCTGCAGCAAGTGCTTCAGATCCTCCTCAATTTCAGCAAAGCAGGGTTGTGTCATCTGCATAACACAGGTTGTTGGTGAATCTTCCTCCAATACTGATGCCACATTCCTCCTTGTACAGCCCAGCATCCCAGATGATCTGTTCTGCATACAGATTGAAAAGGTATGGAGAAAGGACACATCCCTGGTGTATGCCCTTCCCAATTTTGAACCATGCAGTTTCTCCTTGTTCTGTTCTGATGACTGACTCTTGGTTCAATTATAGGTTTCGCATAAGCACAATCAAATATTTTGGGATTCCCATTCTTCTTAGAGTCAGCCAGAGTTTGCTGTGACCCACACAGTCAAAAGCCTTTGCATAGTCAATGAAACATAGATATACATTCCTCTGGTACTCTCTGCTTTCTGCCAAGATCCATCTAACCTTAGCTATAATATACTGAATATCATGACCTCTTCTAAATCCAGCCTGCTCATCTAGCAGTTCTCTATTGATGTGTTACTCCAGTCATTTTTGGATAATCTTCAGCAGAATCTTGCTTGCATGTGCTATCAATGATATTGTTTGATAATTTCCACACTCTGTCAGATCACCTTTTTTTTTTGAATGGGAACAAATAATAGATCTCTTCCAGTCATTTGGCCAGGTGGCTGTCCTCCAGATTTCTTGGCACTGGTGAGCACATCCAGGACAGCGTCTGTTTGTTGAAATATGTCAATTGGTATGCCGTCAACTCCTGGACCATTAGCTTTATAATATGACATCCATCATATTATATGGATTATAGTAATTAAATAAGAAAGCCATGAGAAACAGTATAATATTATTCTAAATTTTGTTTGAGTTTTATATTCCAGATGATAAGATAGAAGAAAATGGAGACTTGGCTACTATTTGCAGTATAATATGAGATAGTAATTTCCCAGTGACTTCAAAGATTGTTTCATCACTGTTATTATTATTATGTACTGTCCAGTCACTTGTGATTCATCGTGACCCAATGTACAACAGCCTTGAAACCTGCTCTATCCTGTGCCAGCTTTATTATCTCTGACACACCTACCTTCATTACTCCAGTCACTGTATCAATCCATCTCATCTATGGCCTCCCTCTCTTTTGCCATCCCTCCACCCTTCTAAGCATCATGTCCCTCTCCAGGGACCAATCCTTCCTTGCAGCATGCCCAAAATATATCAGAAAAAAAGCTACATAATCCTTGCCTTAAAGGTAGAACCAAGTTTCACCCTCTCTAGGACAAAACTGTTTGTTCTCGCTGTCCATGGTATAGTCAATACTCTTCTCGAGCACGGCAGCTCAAAGGCATAAATTCTCTATCTATCATCCCTAGTCATTGTCCAGTTATCTGATGCATAGCAAGTAATTGCAAAGATTATGGCCTGCATCAGGTGCACCTAGTCTCCAGACTGACGTCGTCACACTAGGGATTCTTAAAATCATTTCTAGAAGTAAAGTCAGTTCTACTAGGAAAGGCTTTATTTAGAGTTATAAAACTTTATGCATTTTTTGACTAAAAAATCCCACTTATATCACTCTATACTAAGAAAATAATCTAAAATAAGAAAAACTCTAACTTGTTAAAATCTTTATTTCAGAATTATTACAGAGAAGATGTAAACCAGCCAAGTTACTTCATTGTGGGAGGAATGGCTTAATAAATTATGGCCCATTTCATTTAATGGATTGTCATTCAATCCTTCAAAGTAAAGAGTTGGGAATTCTAAATTATGTGGAAAAATACAGTTTAAGTATTAAATAACATTTAAGATATGATTAAAATGAGGGGAAACTTTAGAGTACATCCACACAACTGCTAACTGTATTGACATAAAAGTTTTACTTTATGAGGATTATTTTGTGTGTTATTTTTACCAGATTTTTGGCAATATCATTATACTTTAAAAAGAAGAAATTCCGTTTGGGTTTTTTTTTAGTTCTGTTTTTTAAATTTAATTTCATTAATTTTAATGAACATTTACAGAGAGTTTGGATTTCCATTCCTGTTTTGGGTTTTTTGATCTTTTTTTTTTCTTTTTTTAAAAAAAGAAGGCATCAATTTCTTTTCCCTAAAATCATCATTGTTCTCTTTTTCGCCTTGCCTGACATTTTATAAATGTTTCCCAAGGAAACATAATTTAGAAAATACTTTTAATTGTAAAGGAAATATAAAGAACAAGGTAGCAGTGAATAACAAGATAGAATAATAGATATTGTAGATAAATGACTCTTCTTTACTTACTGATTTTAAACACATCAATGTCTTTATTTAATCAACATAGTTGACATTTAATTCATGGGTAATTTAGATTTTATAGATACCAAAATGTTCCTATTGGAATCTACTGTAAACACATTTTAAGACATTGCTTATTATTTTTGTTCCTATGTACTACACATAAAAATATAGATATGATTAATATATAGTCATTCCTTGGGATTTATGGGGGATTTGATTTGTTCCAGAACCCTCTCAGATACCAAAATTCACTGATATTTAAGTCTTTTCTTTAAAATGATGCAGTAGTGTTTACATGTTTACATATAAGTGATGAACATCCTCTTGCTTACTTTAAATCGCCTATAGATTACTTAAAATACATAATAAAATATAAATGCTATGTAAAGATCACTGTTCATTCATTCGTAACCTTAAGAAATTGTTTTGAATACTTTACTGTTTTGTTTTCCCCCAGTTATTTTAAATCGATGGTTGGCTAAATCTACTTAAGTAGAATTCACAAATAGGAAATACTAACTGTACTCTAAAAACTGTATACGATTTATCTTGTATAATTGGGAGGTTTTTACAATGTTCACTTAAGCTTTTCAACTGTTACTGCTACCTGCGAAACCTGTACTTGAACTAGAAAACAGTAATCAGAATAGAGCAAGGAAATGGTTCAAGATCAGGAAAGGTATATGCCAGGGATGCATCCTATCTCTATACTTTTCATTTTGGTTTTGCTGGTTTTTGTTTTGTTTTGGTTTGTTTTTTTTACCTTTTCAATCTATATGTGGAAGAGATCATCTGAGAGGCTGAGCTCTGTGAGGAGGAATGTGGCATTAGAATTGGAAGAAGGTTTATCAACAACCTCAGTTATGCAGATGACATAACCTTGCTTGCAAACTGAGGACGACCTGAGGCATTTACTGTTGAAGGTCAAGGACTAGAACCTTCTATGTGGATTGAAGTTCAACATCAAGAAAACAAAGATTCCCACCACTGGGCCAAATGACAGCTTTTGTGTCTTTCTATTTGCTCCTTTAGCTAGCAACTAAAACAAAGTATCTGATAAAAAATAAATTAAGGAATATTTATAAAGCACTTATAACAGTACCCACATATAATAAACACTATGTGTTTGCCACATAAGTTATCTCTGAGCTTTAGAGTTTTATCTATTTTTAAGAAAGTGTCTATGCCAATAAAGATTTGTGTTTGTTGGAATATAATACATTTTTCTGTTTTTATTAAGTCAGATTCTGCTAAGAGCCTTTGCAGTTTATGGAAGGATGATAAAATGTACTGAGAGGAAAGATTGCGTCATTTACTTTACTGTTTTCACTCACTCAATTTTTATTTTCTTTTAAACAGCATCAACTTAGACTTCTGGAAGCCCAAAAAAGAAATCAAGAAGTGGTTCTTCGTCGCAAAACGGAAGAGGTAGTGTAATCCAATTATCCAATTGACGGGTTTTGGAGGAACATTCTGATTTTGAGATAAATGGTACATTTTTATAGACTGACAGAATGAGTCAACCCCTGTTGCTGTTTTAGGTTACAGCTCTTCGTCGTCAAGTAAGGCCCATGTCAGATAAAGTGGCCGGAAAAGTCACTCGGAAGCTGAGCTCATCCGATGCCCCTGTTCAGGAAACAAGTCCCACTGCAGCTGCCACAGAAACAGATGCATCAAGGGCAGCAGCCCAACAGAAAATGAGAATTCCTGTGGCAAGAGTCCAGGCCTTACCCACGGCCACAGCAAATGGATCCAGGTCAGCATAACTCTTCAGTTCCTCTTGAGATAATCTTTGTAGGCATTATTTCTGAGTGTTGTACTTAAGGGAAGACATCAATATTTGACAGTGCATGATCAAATGAATGTGTAATTAATTATGTTTGTCTGGTTTTATATAATTACAGAAAAAAATATCTGAGGAAAGGATTGAGTGGTCGAGTGTTTACTTCGAAGACAGCTCGTATGAAGTGGCAGCTTCTTGAACGCAGGGTTACAGACATTATCATGCAAAAGATGACTATTTCCAATATGGAAGCTGATATGAATAGACTCCTCAAGGTATGGAAAAGAGAATATGTATCTCCTTCACTTTAGCCAGATGCAAATTTCCTCCGTGGGTAAACTTATTTACTATGATTTCTTTTGTGTATGTTATTGTTGTTGTTATGTGCCTTTGGTTGTGCATTTTTCTTCTTTTAATAGTTTGAATGAGTCAATAAATGCCATTTCTCAAAATCCAAACTGTTGGTTGTTTTTTTTTCAACAGCAACGGGAAGAACTTACAAAACGACGAGAGAAACTTTCAAAAAGAAGAGAGAAGATAGTAAAGGAGAATGGAGAAGGAGATAAAAATGTGGTTAACATCAATGAAGAAATAGAGTCACTTACTGCTAATATAGATTATATTAACGACAGTATTTCTGATTGTCAAGCCAATATCATGCAGATGGAAGAAGCAAAGGTTTGCAATTAAAAGTAACATCAAACAAGCAATTTAGTGGCTTAGTGGGTTTGTATTGTTTATCCATAGCCCCAGACTACTCTAGGTTTAACATAATTAATTAAAAACCATGACTACTCCAGAGTAATTCTGTCCACTGGTATTATCATTGTGTTACAAATACAGGGCATGTATAATTTTTTACAACACGTCTTATTTATTATGTTGTTGTTATTATGTATGATTGTGCTGAAACTGGCTCATAGTTGACCTTTCAGGAATTTTCAGAGGCAGTAAATTGTATGGAAGGAGATTGCCCATCCTCCTGTGGCCTACTTGGTAGATTTGAACCACAAGCCTTTGGGTTGGCAGTACATCACCTTACTACTAGGCCACCAGAGCTCCTTTCATTTATTGTAGTATTCTTGACTTCTTAATTGGTCAAACCTTTCTTACTCTTCAACCAGATATCTTTATCACTCTTCACCCAGACCATATATTTCTTGGGGTAGGGAATGATGGCTTATACTTTTCTGAGTAGTGTCAATAGGTAGCTTAATACAATCAAATAAATACCCTAATAAAATTTTAAATGGCTTTTGCCTTTTATTTAAAGTAATGTTTGTCATATGCTGGTTTCATGTAGGAAGAAGGTGAGACCTTGGATGTCACTGCAGTCATTAATGCCTGCACACTCACAGAAGCCCGCTATTTGCTAGACCACTTCCTGTCAATGGGCATCAACAAGGTACGATTAAACTACACTATTATAGAAAACCTAAGCATCTGACACACTTTGGACATGTTGTAAGGAGGGACAGGTCCTTGGAGAGGGACATCATGCTTGGTAGGGTGGAGGGACAGCACAGGAAGGGAAGGCCCTCTATGAGGTGGACTGATTCAATGACTGGGGTAATCAGGATGGGAGTGTCAGAGGCAGTGCGATTGGCACAGGATAGAGCAGGGTTTAGGGCTGTTGTACATAGGGTCGCTATGCGTCGCAAACAACTCGACAGCACATAACAACAACAACAAGCTTTGACTAGTTCATTATTGTTTCAGTTATCTTTGACCAGTGAACTTTCCTCTAAGAAAGAAAACTCTTCATAATTGGTTGGGTATGTCTACATTTTTTTAGTTAAGAAAAGGAAGCCATATTTAGATAAATTTTTCTAATCCTATTTCATTAGCTTTTGCCTATATGTTAGAATAGATAAATGACTTAAAAAGAAATAATTTTCTTTTTTTTTTTACTTTAATATACCAAAACTGAAACCACTGCCATTGAGTTGATTCTCACTGCTGGTGAGCCTGTAGCACAGACTAGAACTGTTGCAAGTCTCTCTCTGTTAGCAGCCATGCTTGTGACTGCTACACCACAGAGCACCTTGCTATAGCACATTGGAAAGATTAAAATATCTTCCAAAGGGCAAACTTCGTACCAGAACTTTGATTAGTATAGTTTTTTTAAAAAAGAATTCACAAGAAAAAGAGTAAGGAAAAAATATAGTTCAATTCTCTGTTGAAGGTAAATATTTTAATATGTCACCAGTAAGAAACTTCTGCCCACATGTTGGACAAATGATTTCTCACTCCCCTAGTTGGTATTGTACTGGACTGATTATTTATTTTTCTCTTATTTCATCTTAATATCATGCTGGGAATGGATATTATTTATATCATTTTACAAGTGATAATCTGAGAATCGGGATGAGGTAATTTGCCCAAGGTCACCAAGCCAGGAAGTGGAGGAACTGCATTTGAGCCCAGGTTTATCTGATGTTGAATGTTCATGTGTTGTATGCATTTGCTATTTGATACGGCTGTGTGTGGTAGATGGTTTTGTATAACCTACAAGGGTATTGTGTTTGTGTTTTGGTTTTTTTAATGCTTTTATAATAGGGTCTCCAGGCTGCTCAGAAAGAGGCTCAAATTAAAGTACTTGAAGGTCGCCTTAAACAAACGGAAATAACTAGTGCTACACAAAACCAGCTCTTATTCCACATGCTGAAAGAGAAAGCAGAATTGAATCCTGAGCTGGATGCTTTATTAGGCCATGCTTTACAAGGTAATCTGGACTAAATTTTTGTTACCTATATTGCATGGTAGCCTTACTCTTTGAGCATGCTATCCTGTACCTCTTCCCCCTGTGACTTGACTGAATAGATGCTATATTTACTTTTAATGCTTTTAATTATTTAATTTGCATGTGTAAATTTGGGGGGAAGTAACTAGTGTTTCTCCAAGGAAAAAAATAACCCACTTAAAAATGCTTACTTAATACCATTAAGCAATTAGGTTTTATGACTTCAGAAAACCAGTCAAGTTTCTGGATTTGTTAAAGGTATTCACCAAGTTTTGTTACTTCACTATGCAGCTCTGTCTTTAAAATCCCGTGTTTGCTATGGCATCTATTCTGTATCTTCTTAGAAATGATACATAATGTTGTTTTATATGGGAGTTCTTGATATTGGATCTGTTTTGATTGGAGTGTTGCTTTTGTTTCCTTTTTTGCTGTTATTTACACAGATCTAGATAGCGTACCATTAGGTAAGTATATTTAGCTTTCTGTGTACCCTAGAGCTGCATGAATTACTAATTGTTTATGTACACTAATTGTGGTACATTTTATTTAAAATTGTTTTCTTGATAGCCAGCTGTTTTTTGCATGATCTGTATTGAGGTGTATCCATGATCACAAATATTACTAAGTCCTTTGTCTTTATCAGACATTCCTGATTTTAAAATTCTTAGATATTTAAAGAAGTACACTTATTGCTGTTAAATGTTTTAATAGTTGAACTCCAATTGTGGTTGTAGTTTCCAAAGACTTTTAGGTTCTTTCTCCATATAGTTTTAGAAACAATTAAAATAGATGTTCATTTTAGATTTTAAAATATGTTTATTAACTTGCACTTACTGTTTTAACATCACAAATAACATTCTCTGAAACCAGTTTAATGCCTTTGGTATATATTTGCTGTATCTCATTAGCTCTTAATTTTTGTAAAATTAAGCACTTGTGTCTCAATATTATAAACTGAAGAAAACAATCCAGGGGATCTTTTTCTAAACGGGTCAAAACAATACTTATAATGTATTATTTTTAAGTTAGAAGGAGCATGTGATAAAATATGGTAATTTTAATCATTCTGTGAAATGTACACAACCACTGATAATTTCTCTGTTAATTCTTAGTAATTAATAAATATCAAGGAGTATTGAGAGAAATTTATTGCTTAGTTTTTTCTGAATCATAATATAGAGAAATTTTTATTGAAAATGATTTTAAAATCAGAAATTAGCTTTTTCTAATTACATGACTGTAAACATAGAATTCTCTGTGTTTTAGAATAAACAGTTTATGAACTTGTGTTTCTATTAAATGTTAGTATGCTCTGCAAAGAGAATACATGAACTACTTAATTTTTAGATGTTTAAACTACATTTTTAACATCCAAATAGCACTTCTGGCAATTAGCTGCATAGGATAGGTATAGAAAGCCTGTGCTTGAGTTGTTCAGTCTGTAACAGTGACAGGTGTACCAAGGATTGGTTCCATTAAAGAGCATTCTTAGGCTGCTCTAGTGTTGGGCTTGATATCACTTGATGGAAAACCTCTACCTTATAGCCAACATTTTTGCCATCCCATGCATTGTCAAGTTTTCTTTCTATTCTCTTTTCCTTCTCTTTCATCTTTTATATTTTGTGGTTCAACTTAAAATAATAAATAATTTTTGTGTAAATCCAAGATCTCTTAGCCTGGAGAAAAATTCATTACTTCTCAGTGTCCATTTGTGTAGAAAACTATTAAACTGCTAATTTGATGAGTAATGTTTCCCTTTTGACAAGTGAGCGAACACTTGTGTACTCATTGCAAACAACTTTCAATCTATAGCTGAAGAAGAATCAGAAGCATAGAATTATTAACAGTTTTTAGCTGATAGAATCCATGTCTTGAGCCAGAAATTTGCTCTTCAATTGGGGCTTTAAATCAGAGAAGAAAAGCCAGGGGAAAGTGTTGATGTATTAGAATTTTCTTTTTAAAAAGAAGAAAGATGAATCCATAGAAGGTCATGGTGTTAGATGCCATCAAATCAGCTCCCACTTAGAACAGCTCTGTGCACAATAGACCAAGACTCTGCCTGCTCCTGCACCATTCTCACAAACTCCACTGGACAGTCACAGATCTATTATTTTTAAAAAGACCTATTTCACTCTAATTTTATCTGAAGCATTGGGCTGGGTGTTGAGGATCTAAGATGAATAAAACACATCTGGGACTTGGTGCCCTGTTGAACCTAGTAGACCTTAAACAGGTGCTACAGTATTGGAATAATATTATGCAGTATTATAATACACAGTGATGACAGTGCTTGAAATACATTCATAGGGAGCACAAAGATGAGGACACCCAGTGAGAATGGAGGAGCCAGTGAAGGCTTTCTGGAGAAAGTGCTACTTGAATGATGCCCAGAAAATAATCACTCTAGAAAAAGTGAAATCCTAACTAAAACTTGGGAGAGTTAGCTATATTTTGCTTGTATGGAACTCTCAAGCAGGTTGATGTTGCTAAAGCAATGAGTACACGACATAAGATTACAAACATCAAGGTAAAGGTTTAGCCAGGGATTGCACTTCTTATCAATAGGCTTGGATATTGGATATATATACATATCTATGTATCTCTCTCTCTCTCTCTCTCTCTCTCTCTCTCTCTCTCTATATATATATATATATATATATATATATATATATAAACTTTGGAGAGCCTTCTAGTTTTCTCCTTATGTTGCGGGTTCCTAAAAACACTCATATGTGTTGAGATTTGCTGCAAGGACTCAACATGTAATTGTACTCATAGTGAAGATGTATTATAGCAATACAGTAGGAGTCCACATTGAGTTCTTAAGGGAGCAAGGAATCCCAGTCTTCTTCAACTCTTCTTCCATGAGAGGTCGCAGGTGGAATAAAAATGCAGCAGCATGTACCCAATGTTTATGCACTGGGAAACTTATAAGAGACTCAGTGGACACAGTTTTTATTGGGGACCAGGCATCTTTCGTTTAACCATGCACACACACACACACACACACACACACACACAAGCACACACCTGGTGCACCTAGCATCCAGTCTCTCCAAAAGAATGCTATGTTACAAACGATATTATTTGCACACACTAAGCAGTAAGCCACCCATAATAGTTATTATTTATAATAACTCTCTGAGAGACAAGTTTTTAAATATCAGCCAAAGACAATCCTTGCAAACAGGTCATTCTAAGGTTAACAGTTTCAGGGCTACTGTGTTAGCTGTCTTGTGCACACTACCCAAGACTTATTTTTTACAACCATTTTGCTTAATTTCTGTTGACATTGAGGTCATGAAACTTTACACTCACATGTGTGGGCTTTTACATGTGTGGGAATTTTAAATATACCTTTGTCTTTCATTCAACTGTGATGGAAAAAGTAACTATCCTTGAGGCGAAAATCAAGTTTTCATGGAAAAAGAAACTGTCCTTGAGGCAAAAATCAAGTTTTCATGGTTGAAATGTAAATCAAAGAGGTGATGATGTTTTCTGTTGCGCATATATTTTATGCTTCAGACCAAGCCTAGTCTGGGTCTGTGTTCTGGTGAGATTGGTTAGGACAAGCCATAATTATCTCTAACTAAATAAAGTTTTAAATTAAGCATTCACATGATTTTCTAAACTCTGGTTTCATAATTCTCTGCAAAAGAAGCCTAGCAAATCTAGTCCACTTTTTATAGGAGGAAATACAAAATAACTTTACTGTGGTGTATTGTTTTTAACAACCTTGTTTTCTCTGTTGCTAGTTAATTCAGTCATTTTGTTGTTGCTATCAGGTGCCATTGACTTGGTACCTGGTCTTGCACCGTCCTCAAAATTGTTGCTAGTTTTGAGCCCATTTTGCAGCTGTTATGTCAGTGCACTTTTATTTATAGTCTTCCTCTTTTTTTTCATTGATCCTTTCTTTTACCTTAGCAAGCATGATGTCCCCAGGGATTGTTTAATATTCCCAAAGTATATGAGACAAAGTCTGTTAACTCTTCTTCGAAGGCACAATCTGTCAGTTCTTGTGACACAGATTTGTTCTTCTGGCAGTTCAAGGTATATTTAGTATTCTTTGCCAACACCATAGTTCCATTGCATTAGTTCATGTTAGTCTCTTCAGTGTTTGATTATCTCTAAAGCAAGTTCTTGAACTTCTCTCAAATAGAGAGCGTTGAAGTACACATTTCCATCAAGATCACCATTTTCTTGACCTCAGAAAGTATCTCCCTTTGTGTGGATCTTAAACGTGTCATCGTAGAGAGGATTAAACCAGGCTGCTCCTTGGAGGCAAGGATTCTGGGGCTTTGTCTGACATACTTTGGACATGTTGTAAGGAGAGACAGGTCTTTAGAGAGGGACATCATGCTGGGTAGAGTGGAGGGACAGCGCAGGAGGGGAAGACCCTCTATGAGGTGGATTGATTCAGTGACTGGGGTACTCGGGATGGGTGTGTCGGAGGCAGTGAGATTGGCACAGGATAGAGCACGGTTTAGGGCTGTTGTACATGGGGTCACTATGAGTCGCAGGCGACTCAATAGCACATAACAACAACAACAACAACACAATGTTTCAAACTTTCTCCTAATGATCCTAGGTCCTTTGGTGACCTAGTGGTAAAAAGTGAGGGCATTGCACTCGGCTCTCACCAACTGCTGCCAAGCCGGTTCTGACTCGGTGGTCCTCCACTGGGCTTCAGAGGCTTGGCCTCGGCAACTCGTGAAGGGAGGAGCCTTTCTCCTTCACAGCAGCAGGCCTTTGGGTTGACAGTACCACTTTTTACCACTAGGTCACCAAAGGCCCTAGGAGCATTAGGAGAAAGTTTGAAACATTGTGTTGTTGTTGTTGTTGTCATGTGCCGTAGAGTCGCCTGCGACTCATAGCGACCCCATGTATAACATTTCTAAACCGTGCTCTATCCTGTGCCAATCTCACTGCCTCCGACACACCCATCCCTAGTACCCCAGTCACTGAATCAATCCACCTCATAGAGGGTCTTCCCCTCCTGCGCTGTCCCTCCACTCTACCCAGCATGATGTCCCTCTCCAAAGACCTGTCTCTCCTTACAACATGTCCAAAGTATGTCATACAAAGCCCAGTGGAGGACCACCGAGTCAGAACCGGCTTGGCAGCAGTTGGTGAGAGCCGAGTGCAATGCCCTCACTTACGTACCCGTACTTAGTTGTGGATTCCGTGCTGACATTTTGATGGGGGGAGTATACATGAAGATGATACGTATTTCATAAGCACATAGAAGTTGGGGAAGAGCCCCTCTGTCTTTTGATCTCTTCCTGGCTGAAAGCAGAGAATACCAGAAGAATGTCTATCTGTGTTTCATTGATTATGCAAAGATATTTGACTGCGTGGATCATAACAAACTGTGGCTGACTCTGAGAAGAATGGGAATCCCAGAACATTTAATCATGCTAATGCAAAACCTATACTTGGACCAAGAGGCAGTCGTCAGAACAGAGCAGGGCAACACTGCATGGTTCAAAATTGGGAAGGGTGCACGTCAGGGATGTGTCCTGTCTCCATACCTTTTCAACCTGTATGCAGAGCAGATTATCCGAGAGGCAGGTCTCTATGAGGAGAGGCGTGGCGTTAGGATTGGTGGACGATCTATCAACAATCTGCGTTATGCAGATGACACAACCTTGCTCGCTGAAACTGAGGAGGACCTCATGCACTTACTGCAGAGGGTCAAGGACTGCAGCCTTCAATATGGACTGAGGCTCAATGTTAAGAAGACAAAAATTCTCACCACTGGACCAATCGGTAGCATCAGGATGGATGGCGAAGAGATTGAGATTGTTCACAGCTTCAGTTTGCTCGGCTCCACGGTCAACACTCTTGGCACCAGTAGCCAGGAAATCAAAAAACATACTGCGATGGGAAAGTCTGCGGTTAGGGACATCTCCAAAATACTGAAGAGCAACAGTGTCTCTCTGGAGACTAAGGTCCGCCTGATACAGGCCATGTTTTTTGCAATCACTTGTTATGCATCAGAGAGTTGGACAGTGACTAGGGAGGATAGAAGGAGAATTGACGCCTTTGAGCTGTGGTGCTAGAGAAGAGTATTGAATGTACCACGGACTGCCAAGAAAACAAACAGATTCATCGTAGAGAGTATTAAACCAGGCTGCTCCTTGGAGGCAAGGATTCTGGGGCTTCGTCTGACATACTTTGGACATGTAAGAAGAGACAGGTCTTTGGAGAGGGACATCATGCTGGGTAAAGTGGAGGGACAGCGCAGGAAGGGAAGACCCTCTATGAGGTGGATTGATTCAGTGACTGGGGTACTAGGGATGGGTTTGTCGGAGGCAATGAGATTGGCACAGGATAGAGCACGTTTTAGGGCTGTTGTACATAGGGTCGCTATGAGTCGCAAACGATTCGACGGCACATAACAACAACAACATCATCATATGTGAGGGAGAAAGGAATTAGTTGGCTTATGTTCACAATCCACCTTCAGTTTTGTAAGAGACAAAACAAAAGGCAATAAATCCTGTGTACTTGTCAGTAACGTAATATGCTACTTAAAAATATTATCTTTGGTTTTGTCAAAAGTTCTAATAAAAAATAGGGAGTACTGGTGGCTAGAAGAAACTGTGGTGCAATCCCAGAGGCATGTGGTTCAAATCCACCAGCTGCTCCACAAGAGAAGAATGGACAGTCTCCCACTGTGTGATTAACTGTCTCTGAAAACCCATGGGAGGGTCAGCTATGAGTTGGTTCCAACCCAAAAGCACACAATAACAACAACAGGAACATAATAAAATATGTTTTAAAAACTTGTACCTACCTTAGGGATTCTCTGACATTTTAAAGGATTCACTTTCTGTGGCAGTTTTGTATGTTTGCTTATTATTTCCCTTGTTGCTAGTGTGCTAGAGTTGTTTACAATAGCAATGGTTTATTTGTATTGGTATATAGAACTTGCATGCAAATTATTTTTGTCTTCTCTGTACTTGTGAATGAGTTGCATGCTGATGTGTGACTTTTGAATCTCTGCTTATACACACTCATAAACAATTAAAGGCATTTTCTCATTTGAGGAAGCTGCTACAACTGCTAAAATATAACTAACTAGTATGCTGAAACTTTTCATAGTTGACTTGGAACATTTACTTTAATCTTATTTTACTCCAATGATTTTCTTGTGTTTGGATGATACGTGGTACTAGATGACTGAAAATGTGTAGTTATATACACTCTGATATATAAATTATCTCATTCATATTCAAAGAGTGTTATTCTATTTCCCCCCACCCCTTCAAATTCATGGTTTTCTGATTTTAGTGCTTTTCCTTATCTTAGGACATTACTCAAAGGAGTTCCTTAGAAACATATTTTATACTTTTATTTCCACTTAGCTACTAAAGCCAAAGTGCCCATATCAAGCCTTTGAGTTTAGAGATTTCAATCACCGTTCTAATTGTGACATGTGGATAATGTTTGCATTTTGGGCATTTTTTTAGAAAATGTAGAGGATAGTACTGATGAAGATGCACCATTAAACAGCCCAGGATCGGAAGGAAGGTAAGAGAGCCTTTAGATGCACAGAGTTTGACCTATTTCTTGAATTTTTAATGTTTTTATGTTGTCATCTGAACAAATTATTATTGTAAAATTGGAATAGCTTTTACTATTATGGCTAAGTGAGTAGCACTAGAACAGTAATATGGAAACAAAACTATGTCCTACTTATTGATAACAGATGTTTGAGACTAAAATAAAAATTCTATGAAAGAAAAAGAATGAATTTTTAAGAATATATTTTTATTTTATATATTTAATAATTGAAAACACAGAGACAGAGTTTGTAATTAAAAATTTATCTTTTCTTGAGTGATCCAATTTATTGTTATAGAGTTGTACAAAGGAGGAGAAGGTTAAGGCATTGCTACATACTTTGTGACATTTAACCAATACATTGGTTTAAAATATTTTCTTAAAATCCTTTATATTTCTGTAAAATTGGTAGTAACATTCTCACTTTAATGTTTTTCTTTTTTATAAATTGACATAAAATTACTTATATACATTATTTTTCATTCATTTACATTCTATTTTATATAATTAATTACATTGATCAGTGCCTTTTATCACCTTGTCTCTTCAAAGCCCCTTGCACCTTGCCTATCCCTTCACTCCCCGTCGATCCACTAGTCTCTGCTGTCCTGGTATTTTTTCCCCTTCCTCTTCTTCTCCCCTTCCCTTCTCCTTTTGAGCAGTTACACATTCCTATTTTCTGATTGCAGTAGCCTTTTGTCCTGGAAAGGGAATTCTTCCCAGGTTGATCCCTTCCTAATGCCCATTGTCTATTTAAACTGCTTTTGCTGTCTCATTCCTCTCCTCTCATTTGCACTCCTATTATAATAGTAATGGTTTTATGCAATATTAGTACTTTTAGTGACTTACTTCACTCAGCATAATGTCCTCTATACTTGCCCATGCCATGTAAGTTCATCGCAGCATTGTTCACAATAGCAAGTATATGGAAACAGCCCAAATTCCCATCAACAAATGATTGGATAGAGAAACTGTGGCATACATTCACACAATGGTTTACTATGCAGCACTAAAAAAAGTACTCTTCTTAATATTGTGATTGGTTGGTTGTTTGCTTATAGCACACTGTCTTCAGACCTTATGAAGCTTTGTGGTGAAGTGAAGCCGAAGAACAAGGTAAGGATAATTAATTTCAGGTAAAGATTTCCTACCCTTTAACTTCTCCTGTTCTTTCTTTTCAAGTAAACACAAAGAAAGGTATCAAGCTTCACTCTTAATAGATAAACAAACACAAATTTTACAGAAATTTTTCTATGAGCAAAAAACCTATTTCAAGTTCTTTATTGTGTTACCTTTTGAATGAAATTTGAAAGTAATTAATTTGAAACTTTCCTCTTGAGGGACTTGGGTTTGATTTATTTTACACTGTTTATGTGAGATAGATATTGCTGTCGAGGCTGTTGGTTACTTCTTTCTATTCATCTCAACACCAGTCTTACTGCTTTGCTGAATATAAAATTCCTTACAATAGCTCACAGACCACACAAACCATGTTGGGGAAATCAAAAGGTTATAATCTAGATTAATAATAGAATATAGTTAAGACAGTTCCCGAAATATACACATAGGCACCTCAGCCTTGAGCCTTGCGTCTTTAGGTCAGTTCCCAAGTTCTTAGTCCTGTCATTATTGGCTTCCCATCCCTAGTTGTCCAATAAAGTTCTCAGTCCTGCCAATATTTCCTCTCCCTCACAAGATCTCATCAAGCCTCTGTTTGACCACAGCTGTTGCTGCTATAGGTGTGGCTGTCGTGAGACGAATGTCTTAAAATCTCTTGCTTCTGCTTCAATAATGGAGGAAGATCTATATGTCTCTGACTGCTGATTTCTCAATTCAATGGCAAAACTAGCCAATCCCCTTTTAGATTATAGGAAATCCCCTTGTGGATAAGTTAACATGCACCATTCACATATTCTCATCCATCTATATAGCAAAGTCAAACAATGTCTGGGAAAAGTCACATTGAAAGATAAACTCCACAGGATGCAGTAGAAATAGTTTAGGCTGGCCGGGGATTTTAGTATTCAGAAATAGTCCTAAATATGTGTTTTATTTAATATCCTGAGTTTATTTGAGTCATATGCCAACCCTTAGTCATTATGTTATATTAAAAACTGAGACTGTCATGCATATTTGTAGATTTTTTAAAAAAATATGTATGTAAGTGACATATGCTCTTAGATGTGTATAATACATAGAACATGTTTCAGACTGAAAGTAGGAGCTGAATTAGCTAATCATTTAAAGATGTTAGAAAACAAAGTTTTCTCACAGCGCTTAGTAAATATTAAATAAATGGATAGAATCAGAACCTGGAATAACCCAACTCATAATGATTGAATTAGAACTATCTCATAGTTGACCCTCCAGTGGATTTCTAAGACTATAAATCACACAGGAGAAGGTGTTTGCCTTATATTTCTACCTCAAAGCCACTGGTAGACCAGAGAGGAACAACTCACTATGGACCAATTAAGGCCCGCAGTGGTTAAATCAGATGATGCATATGAGTAATTTGGCTGGATGTAAAATAATGAGTAGGATAATGTGGTTAACTGGAATGTACATGCCCCATTTAAAGCAAATAATCATTACTCAATCTTTGATCGTTTTTAGCATGTGAGAATGTGGGCCTATGGCTACCAGAAATTCTAGTTTTTCAAGAGAAGCCAGGCATACAGAATTTTATGTGGAATTTCTTGATTTTTAAAACACTGGGCAAGTTAAGCAAACAAAACATTTTCAAGGCATTTATGTATGATCTTAGAACTCCTGGTTTGATAACATGTGGCTTGTGTTTTGTTATTAAAAGTCACTAAGCAGAGCTACCAAAACTAAAAAACAAAACAAAACCAATAAAATAAGACAAACAAAACCCCACTTCCTAGTAAATTTAGGATCTGGTTCTAGGAAGAGGAGAGAAGTCATCTCTTAAGGTAGCTTTAATCTTGGAAACCCTGTAAGGAGATGTGAGGTAGCAGCCACCTCTTGAAATAACTACTGAGGTTAGAAATTTCCAAGTAATCTGCTTCTCGTTGTCCTAGACCCAAGACAGTGGAGAAATTTTACAGTGTAAAAACTTGGTTGCAGGATGTTTTATTTTCATTTCCAAAAGCTTTTGGAAATGCTACCTCCTACTCCTTTAGAACCGCAAAGATGTCTGAAAAGATCTCTGGTTTTTTTGTACTCTTTGAAAAAATTAAGTAGATTTTATATTTTGAATAGATTTATACCCTTACTGTTCATTATATTCAGAGAATATAAGATAGACTAAAACAAGGTCCTGACCCTCTAGAAGTTTATACTCTGGCAAATACCTGGATTCATCATTACTACTTTTTACAGATAACAACCATTAATTCTGATTAAAACATAGTACAGTCATTTAGTTGTCAAGTGTCAGAAAAGGAATGCTTTTCAGAAACTTTTTCAGAAAGGTTTTCAGTTCCAACTTTATCCTTCACTTGCTTTACCAAAAACTGATGTTGAATTATCCAGCAGGTAGAGTAAACTCAGAAAGACATCAAGGAGCAAGGCCACAAAATCTTCCAAAAAAAGGAAGATATATCTATTTACATTATATATATATATATATATATATATATATATCTTTTTAATATTAAAAAGCAGTTTTATATAATCATTTTAAGTATGGAGGTATAGAAAGAGTAAAAGTGAAATAATGGAGAAAGATCCAAACATGCTAAGAGTAACCAAAAGAAAATTGAGGGGCTGAGGAGGTAAGAATTGTAGGGAGATGTAGAGAAGACTATATACTTTCTGCAGAATTTTTTTTTAAAACTAAATCTGTTTTTAAAAATATTCTCAATGAATTAATGGAAATCCAAAATCTCCGTAAGTGTTCAATAAAATTAATAAAATAAAATTTTTCTTTTTCTTTTTTCTCTCTTCGGAGGGGGAAGCGAGCTGGTGGGGAGGGGTGGGAAGGGAGAAAATTGCGGCAATGAATGAATGGAATTCCAAAACCTCTGTAAAAAAAAGAAACAAATAAAAAAAATAAAAAATTAAAAAAAATCCTGATAAAAAGGAAAAAGAAATAAACCATTAAAAATACTAAAAAAATTAATAAAATAAAATAAAATTTTAAAGTATTCTATTATAAGAAGCGTTTAAACATGGAAAACAAAAACAGTTTAGTAGCACTTCTTTGTAATTATCTTTTGATGTAATGTCTTTTTATAATCACACATTGAAAGAATTTACAGTGTAGAAAAATCATTCTATATATGTAGTTAAGTACAGAATTTCACAGTAACATTGGAGTGAGATTGCCTGACTGTGACTCTCCCTTTACTGCTACCTAGCTGTGTGATCTCAAGAAAGTTACTTTACTTCTCTGTGGTTTAGTTTCCTCATCTATGGATTGAGATAACAATGCTACCTACCAAAATGGTTACATAAGAAAATAGCTTTTTAAAAAAAAAAAAAAACAAACGAAACCAACCCACAAAACTTTGCATGTAAGATAAAAAATGTTGACACCTAAAATACAAATATTATTATGTCCTTTAAAAGTTTAATTTGGCATTAACTCTGGTTAGTCACTATGTTACATTCCATGTGGACTCCACCGGCTTGGACAAGTTATGCTAAATGTTTTTACCTATTTAAAATGAATGAATGAATTTCTGCTCCCTAATAACCTTCACTATGGAAGTTTACCCTTGACTGTTTCTTTTCATTCTCTAACTAGGCCCGACGGAGGACCACTACTCAAATGGAATTGCTGTATGCAGATAGCAGTGAACTAGCTTCAGACACTAGTGCAGGAGATGCCTTCTTGCCTGGCCCTCTTACACCTGTTGCAGAAGGGCAAGAGACTGGAATGAACACAGAGACAAGTGGTCCTTCTGCTAGGGAAAAAGAGCTTCCACTCTCATCTGGCTTACCTTCTAAGATAGGCAGCATGTAAGTCTGGCTCAGCTACACTAACTTCCTTTCTTTTGCCTTTCTAGAAAAGATGCATGTGGCTATTTTCTTACTTCTTTTTTTCTTTGTTAAGGAAAATGATATAAACAAGTATTTTCGTTTTCAAAAGAATTTCTTTTAGTTATTGTCTTTCCTCATTTCAGGGATATTAGGTATCTTTTAAGATGAAATCTTAAGTTTCTTCTAATTACATTGTCTTATCTAAATTGTAGGATAATTCTTAAACATTCTATTTTCTGTGAAGATTGAGGTATTAATTATAAACAATACATTTATTTATATACATCTAACCTAAGCTGCTCTACAGGTATGCCTAAAAAAGTTTATATGTAAACAGAATTAAAGATTCTTAATTTTTCTCTAAATTACATATGTTCTACTTCTAAGAATCTGTTCAGGATGATGAAACTTACCATCTTTTTAAAGTCAAAGTTGTTCTGTACGATTGAGTACCAATCCATAGCTGAGCTTCCAGTAGGTTTTCAGAGGCAGTAAATCACATCGAAAGGGATTGCCCATCTTTCTCCTTCGGAACCATCGGTGGATTTAAACCACGTACCTTTACATTGGCAGTGCAGTTCTTTTCCACTAAACCACCAGAGCTCCCCGAAGTAAAAGAATAGGTATCAATTAAAAACACAAGACATTCTGAGCTGCCTTATACTTTACATTGAAGCACATTGCATGTTTGGAGTGAAGAGATGCACATATTATTTTTATTGGTATTATTAAGAATATCCTTTCTCCCATGTATGGTAAATAAACAAAAAACATTGCATACAAAAGGAATCTTACAATTTTTATTATTATTACCTTGAGGGTAAAGAAAAGTTTTTCTATACAAGCCAGTGTGTAGCTGATATGTGGAGGAATTGTGTGTTGGTAGCAGTTATTGTCACATGTCACCAACTCAGATCAATCTATAATGACCCTATGTGCAAAAGAATGAAATACTGCCTGGTCTTTTACTACCCTCAAAAATGTTGTGTTTGAGGCTATTTTGCAGTTACTGTGGTTGTACATCTGTTATGGATCTTCCTATTTTTTTTTTGCCGACCCTTTGTCAGTTATGATATTTCTAGGGACAGGTCCCTAATGATAACGTAACCATATTCAATGAGATGTTGTCTTGCCACTCTCACTTCTAAGAAGCATTCTGACTACTTCATCCAAGACAGGTTTGTTCATTCTTCTTGCAGTTCATGCTGTGTTGTTGTTGAATGCCATTGAATTGGAGCCGACCTATAGCTGACCCTCCAGCAAGTTTTCAGAGGCAGTAAATCTCGTGGGAGGAGATTGCCCATGGAGCAGCTATTGGATTTGAACCACATACCTTTCCACTGGCAGCATATTTCCTTACCACTAAGCCACCAATCTCCCTCTTGCATTTTGTAGTGTATTTCTTTAATATTCTTTGCCCGCACCATAAGTCAAAAGCACCAGTTGATATTTCCTTATTCATTGTCCAGTTTTCTCATGCACATGGAGAAATTGAAAATATCATTGTATGGGGTAGTTGTGTATTAGTCCTTATGATGGCATTTTTGCTTTTTTGACAACTTAAAGAGGTCTTTGCAACGAATTTTCCCAGTGCACAATACCACTTGATTTCTTGACTGCTGCTCCCAAGTAATGATCTTTGTTGTTATGTGTTGTTGAGTTGGAACTGACCCTTAGAGCTGACCCTCCGGTGGGTTTTCAGAGGCAGTAAATTGCACAGATTGCCCATCCTTCTCTAGTGGAGCAGCTGGTGGATTTGAACCATATGCCTTTGGGATTGAAATGCAGCTTCTTCTTGCTAGGATACCAAGAAATTATGGGTTCAAGTAAAATGAAATTCTTGACAACTCCACTCATTTCTCTACTTTATCATGTGCCTTTTTGGTTCCGTTTTGAGAATTTTTTCCTTTCTTTTTGTTGAGCTTGAATTATCTGCATTTTGTAAATTGTTAATGAATCTTCCTCCCAAACGTTCAACTTCTTGAATTATTTGCTCAACATATAGATTGAATAAATAGGGTGAGAGGATGCAACCCTGACACACACCTTTCCTGATTTTAACCCACGCACTATCCTGTTATTCTATTTCAATAACTGCTACTTGGTTCCACATGAGCACAGTGAAGTGTTCTGGAGTTCCTGTTCTTGGCAATATTATCCATAATTTATTAAAATTCACACAGTCACATGTCTTTAAATAGTCAATTAAAAAACAGATAAACTTCTTTCTGGTATTCTCTGCTTTCAGCCAAGATCCACCTGGCACCAGGAATGGATGTGTGTTTGTAGTTATATAAAATTATATCATCATTCACTGGTAAAGATTTTTAATGACATTTTTCAAACTAACCCTCATCTATAATCTAGCAAATGATTTATGGATTGACTTTGTCTCTGCATTGAGGAATATTGCCCCCAAAGACATACACCATATGACTCTGCAGATAATAAAGTAATAGCGCACTTTTCCTACTTATATGTCTGCTAACACACAAAGATAAAATGACCTTTAATTTTGTAAAGATGTTTCTTTTGCCTTCTACTCAGTAATTTCATTTACTACTTTCAATTCCAACATTAATATTCATGATGACAGAACCTTCTCGCATGTGCTTGAGGTGGCCTACACGATTAACAACTGAATTTGCTGTTAAACGTTGCTAACCAGAGTAATTTAAAGCTTCTGTGGTTTTATAAGATGAGCATAGAAGAAATGCTTTGTAACATCAGCAATATAGGAATTAGAATAGATTTTAGGAACTTGCATGTATACAGCATTTAGTTTGTCAGATGATTAGAGCCTTTTGGAACCCCAAGACTAACTCTGTGGCCTGGAAACCAGATTCAGGTAATACCTTTTTTTTTTTCCTTTTAAAATATAATTTATGAAAGGCTGTAGAAAATATCTTTTAGACTCTTTCTTGATGTGTTTTATTTATAATTTTTCATGAATCCAGATGTATGCGTAATTCTTTACTAGTTTAGGAGCTGCTTACATGCTTGTTATATAGACTCATAATCCTTGAAGACCTTGCATTTATTGCACAGAGTAAACCTGTTTGATCAAGTCACCCTAATGATTAAATGTTAAGAGAAATTTTAAAATGTTATTTCCTCTAGAAAAACACACAGAGAAAGTTTGGTTTTTTTAAGGATGTTTACTTTTAAATAGGAATCCTTGAAGCTTATTCTTGAGTCTGGCTTTCTGATTTTCTCAATTTTTAAAAGTAAATATTACTAGTCAGTGATTCTCTAGAACCCTTAATTATCTATGAACTAGTCAATATTTAAAGTTTACAATTAGACAGGAATATTTTTATTACTAAAATATATTTAGTTACTAATTAAGAATTAAGTGTTATGTGAGTAAAAGAATTGTTTTTATGATGCTTATAGCACTAATGTATTACTACATCTATTAATTCACTAAACTTTGTTATTTTTTTTGTGTTCTCACCATCTTGTATTCTTGAAATAGTGTAAGAACTTTTTTCCAAATTAACTGAAATTAAAGCAATATTCTGAAACTCAGAGTTCTAATAAAAATATCATAGTTACTTTAGCATTGATGTTTACATTAAAATATAATAGTTTTCACTTTAACAAACATTTAAATTAGGTATTAAATATATGACTGTCAGATTTCCATCAACTAGAAAAAAATAATTATTTTCTTATTCTAGTTTTATATTTTCTTGACATAAACTAAGTTCCAGTTAGAAATCTATTAAAAAATTTTAGGTTAGAAAATTATCAAACAATATTACATATACAAATTTAAAATTGGAAAATTAAGAATCTCTGTCTATTTCAGTTCAAGACAACCATCTCTATCAGAAAAGAAAATTCCAGAACCTTCTCCTATATCAAGAAGAAAGGCCTATGAGAAGGCAGAAAAATCAAAGACCAAGGAACAAAAACAGTAAGTTATTAACACTTTGTACATACTATGTAGATTAAAATCTCTGCTGTACTTAAGTACCAAAGTATTAATAGTGAAGATATTTTTCAAATTGAGGCTGCTGGTGTTGTTATGAGATAATTAAGTTAGTGAGGCTTGGCTAATTGATATAACTCCCTTGCTCATATTCATATACCTGTGAAAATATTTAAATGCTTTATCTCTGTTGTACACACTTAATTTATTTTTATTTCAAGTTTTAAGTTTTATTCTCATTTCAATTTATTTTTATTTTTAAAATATTCATGTTTATCATAAAAGTCAATATACTTTTGAGGCAAAACTTAAAAGGTAATGAATTACACATATGTTTTAAACCATTTTCTAGAAACTTTCAAAGACCACATACATGCCATCTGGTAAAATTGATATTGATTTGACAAAAATCTACTGTGTTAATCATAAGTGGTGTTATTGATATAATTTTCTTGCTTTTCTACTAAGCTTTGGGTTTTTGTTTTTTTTTTGCAAAAGTATTTTGAAAGCATGTTTTATGAAGATACATACTTATAATAAATGGTACAATCTGATGATCAACTAACCAGGCACTTTTTTTTTACTTTATTATTTTTGTGTGAGTGTACCGTCAAATCAGATCTGACTGGTACAGGAGGAGATTGTCCCTCCTTCCCGGGCAGAGCATCTGGTGGATTTGAACCGTGCACCTCTGGGATTGTAGTTGCAGCTCCTTGCCACTAGGCCACCAGAGCTCCCCTAACCAGGCACTTTTAAACTGTAGAATTAAATGTGAGTCAGAACCACTGTCACCCTTCTATCCTGTGCCATACCAACACATCCCTCAAAGTGACCCTCTGTTCTGTAGGTAACATTTGAATCTCTGACATGTTCTTGAGTAAGGATATTAATGCTGAGCTACACTTAAATATTCTCAAATAAAAACCAACAAAAACCCTCATTGCTGTGGAGTTACAGGTAACTCATAGCTGATCTTCCTACAGGTTTTCAGAGGCTGCAAATTGCACAGGAGGAGATTGCCTGTCTTTATCTTGCAGAATAGCTGGTGGATTTAAACCAATAGCATTTTAGTTGACATTGCAACTCTGTAACCACTAGACCACCAAAGCTCCTTAAATATTAGTAGAACTAATTTCTTTAATTTAACAGTAAATACATAAGATAAATCCTTGAGTATTTTTTCTACTCAGGTGAATAATCTTTTAACCCCTATCTCCTGTGCCTATGCCACAAACTATAGCCCTTTGTCCACTGGTTTATCTGACTTATATATCATGGGAATTATCCTTCCTGTATTTAAAAATATGTGTGCCTGCTTGTATTGATTTGAATATCTCAAGAATGGGAGATGTGAAATGGAAGAAATGAAATGAATTTTAAAACTTTATAAAATGAAGTGAATAGATGATTAAATTGTGTTGGTAAATCATTTTTAAGCCCTCTAAACCTGTTTGCTCATTTGTAAAGTGAGCAACTTGATCTCAACTCTAAAATTTTACAATTTTAATATTCTGCTTGCTTTAAATTTATTGACTTCTGACTTGGGCAGACAGCTTTTTCTTCAGTGCCATCTTGTGGCTCATGTCGCAAAAATCCAGTGAGTTCTTGATCATTAAATTGAATTGCTTAATGTGCCTTTTACCGTACAAACAAGGATGGCTAGAAAGAAGGAAAGAGCTTTGCAAGTGCAAAGTTTTGTTTCTTTTTTATTTTCCTTTGAGTCTTTTAATAAAGCATAGTTTCTTATAACCTTTCTAACGAATCATAACCAATTAAAGCCACCTATCTAATGTTCTTTTTTTCTTGTAGCTCAGATTCTGGAACCTCAGAGGCTAGCCTTTCACCTCCTTCTTCCCCACCAAGCCGGCCCCGTAATGAACTGAATGTTTTTAATCGTCTTACTGTTTCTCAGGGAAACACATCAGTTCAGCAGGATAAGTAAGTCATCATGGAACATAGTCCCAGCTATTTATACACCATTCTGAGCCTCTCAGTCCAGTATGTAGAAAATGCTTAATCATCTCTTTGTGTGGGAGATGGAGTCTGATGTGTGAACTCTTGCTCTATTTTATGTATTTTTCCAATGTGAAATGAACCATACAACCAGACTTAGAGAAAATTATTTTCCTGCTGAACATAATTCCCTGTTGTAGATTTGAATTCTTATACTTTGATCACTTTTCTTACCTTTTCCTTTGCAAGTACATTAGAATTGAAATATCATTAAGACCCCTGAATGTCTAAATTTCTTGACATTCTTTAGCTTCTGTGAGCCCAAAAAACCTTTGAATCTAGGTAGCTTAAGAGGCAAATTATTTCCCTTAGATAAAGCAATTTACAATGACAATTCATATGTAACATGTTACTAATCATTGGACTATACTAGACATATCTACCATAAAATGTTAGTAATTATGATCTGAGCATAAAAGAGCTTCTTGGTGGGTGGGAAAATGGTAGATTATGGAGGAAGAAAGGTTGATAAGATATGGAAAATACTTTTTTATTAAATTTGAAGTAAAAAATTATTCCCACGTGAACCAGAATCTCTCTTGCAAGAATTTCATACTGACAGTTCTGCCATGAGGCATTTATTAACTCTGACTTACCTGCTTTGGTTTTGAATTGTAACACCAACAGTGTAAGTACCCGAGAACACTACTTCCTGCCCCAGTTGTTTGTTTTCTATGCTATCCTTTCACTCTGTATATCAGCAGCCTCTGAAATTTAGAAGGTGCTGCTCAAGAATTTGCTGGCATGTTTAGATCTTGCTTAAATGTAGAAAAATATACCACCATTTTGGAAAATAAAAACCAAACTTTTAAACCATTCTGGATAAAATTTTAATATATTTTTAAATTAGTAGAGGATGTATCCTTTAAGTCGATCTCCATAGGCATTTTTCTGTGCAGTATTGAACAAAAAGTCATTTTACTTTTTTTAAAAAAATTATTTTTTTTTTCTGTGTGTGTACCATCAAATCAGACTGGTACAGGAGTAGATTGTCCCTCCTTCTCCAGCAGAGAATCTGGTGGATTTGAACTGCATTCCTCTGGGATTGTAGTGTAGCTTCTTACCACTAGGCCACCAGGGATCCCTCATTTTACAATGTTAAATCACATCTCTTAATTGAGAGATTAATTGAGCATTGTACGAAGAATTAATCAAGTTTGTCTACCTTGCATTTACAAGTGATAAAGTTTTTCTATTATTTCTTGGAAAATACTGGCCAATTAATCATAATTCTATATTATCTAGCAAGAAAATGATGAGTTACTAATAATGCAAATCTACCTGTCATATTTGGAAGCTGAAACTTAGAGATACTGTCTATCCTAGACTTTAAGACCTCCCCTTCCTTTTGTATCCTTTTCTTTGGCATTCTTTTTTGACACCAGCATTTGTTCCCAGCACAAGTCAATGCTACACATTTTTTTCTGGTCATATACTATACCCACACTGATGTTATCCTAATTATACCCAACCCTATCAGAGAAGTTAAAAGGGTTTTCATAGTAACTAGTCTCACTGTCAGCCTTATAAGCCTTAGGGTATGTCTGATAGTAAATGCTCAACTGTGTTTTAAATACTATTAAAACTCTTCAAAAGACTCCTTTACACAAATAATTTGTTTTTACATAAGGTTAAACAAAATGAGTGAGTTTTTATTAGTTGCATTCCATGTAAGTATTCAATGTATTTGTTCAGCCTCCACATCAAAGTCTAAATCTAAAGTAATGTATATCAAAATGAGTACAATATATTAATAGTTTTAGAAATAGAATTGTTTTATAATGTAACCATATTAAATAGAGAGAATTTTGACATACTACATAAACTAGGTATTACTCCCTTCTAGGACCTAAATTTAGGAAATGAGGATAGGTTTTGTAGACCAGTAACAGGGGGCAAAAATTCTCCAAAGCCTTTCATTATTAAAACATAAGAATAAAATATTTTATGTGCCTTAGGTACATTTTAAAATTACTGATCTCCAGTGTACATAGGAAAACAGGGCTGTCTTTAAAGGAAATGTTTGCTATATTTCTGTTACTCATACTGTTGATTTTTCAGTTCAAACTCAGTGTCTTTACCTGTTGACATCTGTATTCCTTCCCCTCATGATTCTAACTCTTTCACTGTAGGTCTGATGAAAGTGACTCCTCTCTGTCGGAGGTACACAGGTACTTTCTATCTTTCCTACATTCCAGTCTTTCATTTATGCTCTGAAATACATCCTAGAAATTCTAAGCAAGTCTTATTTTTGTTGCATGCCTTGCTTGTTGCAAATATAAATGCACTAATATTTTCAACCATACTAATTTTAATACTTTTAAGTCATGCTTTCTAGACAAAACAGTGGCAATTTGTGTGTGTGTGTGATAGCTTTTTATTTTCTGTCTGAAGTAGAAATATTTTCTTTAAAAGAAGCTAAGTTATTTGATAACTGAAGTTAATGTTTATGCCTTGATAATTAAATATTTTCAATGTTTCAGACTATGAGAAAATAGAGTATTTTTTCCTGGTTGGTAGGGCAGTTATAAATAAAAAGCTTAACCCAGTAGGGTTTTTTTTTTTGAGAAAATATACTAAGAGGAGAAAAGGATATTACTAAAAACAAAATGGATAGAGAATGAAAATCAAGAGTTATTTTTATGAATTGATATAGTTTTAAAAATAACAATGCTATATTTTTTATGTTATGCAGTTTTTGACCCTTTTTGTCCCCTCTTTATCATGCCATTTCTCCATTTATCATCTTGTTACCCTCCTCTTTGCTCTTATTTTCCCTGTTTTATGGCCATTTTCCTGATAAGAGTAGATCTTCCAGAAGGTAGGCAGGAGGAAAGAGAAGAAATGAATTCTATTTTACAACTTCAATAGTTTACATGGAACATCCCTTGAGATCATTTCTGTTGTACAACTTTGCTGTATTAATTTTTTATTTAAAGAAACTATTTGAAAGTTGATCTTTATATTTCAGGATGTTAATAGATTAATTTGAATAGAGAAAATATGTGTTTCCAATTTCTATATTGGAATAATTTGTGAAAGGTAGTTTATATAAAACATTACCCCTAATATACTGAACAGTTGAGAATATTCTTTTAATATCTACATTAAAAATGTTGTAGTTAAAAAAATGTTGTAGTTAAATGTGGGTTTCCCTCAAACACTTAGTAATGAATAATAATAAAATATAGAAGAATGAAAGAGGGATTCTGATTTCTAGAAAAGAATATACTATAAATCTTTGGAAACAAAGGTTTAGGGATACTTATATACTATTATAACTTTTATGCTGACTTATATATCCTAAATGTTGTATCAGCAGGGGTATATTGACTAGATTCTTAAAAGCCAATACTTGAAGGGAAAAAAATATTTGGAAATACAGTATTATACAAGTGAGGGCACAATTCAACTACTTCCCTCCCCTAATTTAGGATTAAATGCATATTAAAAATGACTCTCATACACTAATAGCATTATTATTTTCCTCTGCTGAACTATACGTACACAGACATTTGGTTTGAGAAGCAACAGTAATACCTCAGTTATCTCAAACTAATTTTCAACAAATCAGAATTTACTCATACCTTGGATAAAGAGGGTTAAAGAGGCTGTAGATCAGATGGGAGGAAACTACACATCTTTCTAGTGGATTAGAACTTCCAGAGAGGTGCAGCTTGGGTTAGCCATGCAACCCCCTATGGACTATGATGTCAGAGTTCCTTGGCTTAGATACCTATCGCTGCTGTAAAAGAATTACCAGTAGGTGGTTTTAAGAAACAGGACTTTGTTTCCTTACAGTGTAGAAGGCTAGAATTCCAAAGTCAAGATGCCAACTCTAGGGGAAGGATCTCTCTTTTTGTTGCCTCTGGAGGAAGGTCTTTGTCTCTCTTGAGCTTCTGATCTTTGTGTGTTTCTCATAGTTTACATTGCTTTCCCCTATCTCTATTCTGCTTCTTATTTAATTTCTTTTAGATTTCAAAAAAGATAGGTTCAGTATACACCTGACTCTAGCCCTGCCTTGTTAACACAACAAAGACAACTCAGTTCCAAATGGGTTTATAACCACAGGCATATTGTTGTTGTTATGTGCCATCAAGCTGCCTGTGACTCATAGTGACCATATGAAAAATAACTCTGAAGCCTGCCCTGTCCCGAGTCAGTCTCACTGACTCTGGTACACCTACCCCCATTGCCCCACTTATTGTATCAATCCATCTCATCCAGGATCTTCCTCTCTTGCACTGTCCCTCCACCCTTCCAAGCATGCTGTCTTCCATAAAGTGGGACTTCCTGGTCATGAGCCCAAAATATATGAGACAGAACTTCAAAATTCTTACAGCACATCTCTTGGGGAGATGTAATTGCATAAGAAGTAACTAAGAATAGACATGTTAATATATTTTTTAAACATTTTAAGCAATGTTTGTAATTGAAAAGGTTAGACTTTAGTTATGAACCTTAAGTCAAAATGACTGACCTGTTTTTTTTTCCTTTAATTTTCATTTTATACTGATTTATTCACAAAGTTGATAGACATTGTTTTTTACACCAGATCTTTGTGTAACCCTATGATTAATCTCCCTTCCTTCCCCTACCAGTCGTCAGCCCTCTACTCCTCCCCTTTTGGATCCTCATATTTGTTCTACAATAATGGTCTTATACAATATTTGTCCTTATGGGACTGAGTTAGTTCACTCAGCATAATGCTGTCCAGTCCCTCTCAAGTTAGGTAGTAATTGAAAAAATCATTGCTCCTGTGTGCTGTGTAGTGTTCCATTGTGTGAATGTACCATAATTTCTCAATTCATTTTACTATGGTTGACATTTGGGCTGTTTCCATGTTCTTGCAATGGTCAATAACACTGTTATGACCATTAGTGTGCAAGTATCCATTTATGCCTGAGTTCTCATCCTCTCAGGGTACAATCAAGGTAGATGTTTTTCAGGTTATACTCAAAGTGGATCAGAAAACTGGGAATAAGTCCCAGAAACATAAACTTCATCAGAGACATCTGGGATCAAGCTTAGACATACTGGTGTATGGTATGAAGAAACCACCAAATGCAGCTAGAAATACTCAATCTGGAGAAGATAAAATTGATGAATGGGACCTTTTTAAATTTATTTTATTTTTTGTGCGTGTGTGTGTACTGTCAAATCAGTCTGACTGGCACAGGAGGAGATAGCTCCTCCTTCTCCAGCACAGCATTTGGCGGACTTGAACCACATACCTCTGGGATTGCAGTGCAGCTTCTTGCCACTAGGACACCAGAGCTCCCTCAAAGATTAAAGCCCTGTGCACATCAAAAGCATTTCCTGACAGAGTGAAAAGAAAACCTACTGATTGGGGAAAATTTTTTTTTCAATACCATTTCAGACAAAGAGCTCATATCTAAAATTTATAGAATCCTCCATAAGAAAAAGACTGATAACATAATTACAAAATGGGCAAAAATCATGGAAAGAATTTCACAGAGGAAGATACTCGAATGGACAACAGACACATGAAGAAATGCTCAAAATCACTGGCAAATAAGAGAGATTCAAATCAAAACCATAATAGATACCATCTCACTCCAGTGGCAAAGTTTAACAGGACAGCAAGTAATAAATGTTGGAGAGAAAGTGGTGAGATAGGAACTCTTATACATTGTTGGTGGCATTGTAAAATGGTATAAGCACTCCGAAAGGCAGTTTGACACTTCCTCAAAAAGCTGAAAATAGAAATTCTATATGACCCAGCTATACCACTGCTTGGAAAATGGCTGACTTTGAGGAGGTTTATTTCCCATTTGAATTATGAAGTGGTTCAGTTCTTATAATACAAACCAGTTACTGAGCATTAAGTTCAAGAATCTCCAGCTAAAAAAAAAAAAAAAAGAATCTCCAGCTAACACAAGTATGCAGTATTGTTATGTGTTGTTGAGTCTGACCTGACTTATAGCTGACCCTCCAGTGAAATTTCTGAAGCTATAAATCACACATTAGGAGATTACCTTTTTTGTTGTTGTTGTTCGTCTGTCTTATATAGTAGCTGGTAGATTCAAACTATGAGTTTCAGGATTGATACCACAATGCCTTATCATTTAGCCACCAGAGAATTTGTAATTATTTATCTAGCCATAATAATTCCTAGTATCACTTATAGAGATGAAGAACTTCTTTTACTTTTTAAGACAATTATATCTGCTTCCAGTTTCTGCATGCCCATAAGGTCCTCACGCTGTCCTGACTCCTGATGGGACATCTGGGAGGACAGACTGTGTGATCTTGAACTAGGAGCCCTGCCCTTTTCTCCTGCCACCCTCCAGAGCTTTTTAGAAGAGGAAGGATTATTGATGCATTATTTACAATAGCAAAGAGATGGAAGCAAGCCACGTGCATATAAACAAATGAATGGATAGAAAAACAATCGTATATTCATACAGTGGGATACTAGGAAACACTGGAAAACACTGAACTTGTAAAACATTGCACAACATGAGTGACCCTGGAGCACATCATGCTGAGAGAAATATCTCAGTCATAAAAGAACAAACATTACAGAGTACCACTGTTATAAAGCAGGTCTGACATGGGGTGGGGCTGGGAGGAGAATAGGGTAAGATTGGATAGATAATGACGATTGCATTGGAACAGAAGAAAGAAAAGAACTGTCTAAAAGGAATATATGATTAGATATTATACAAACATCAACAGCTCAAAATAAGAGGTATAATATTGCAAAGAGGACTTTGGGAGTAGGGAGGTAGGTAATTGTGCAACAATGAATGAGTCTTACAAAACAAAATGAGCTCGGGGAAGAGGAAGAGGGGGTAAAATGTGCAACAATGAATGAGTGAAAATCTAACTTCTCTATAAATGTTCATTAAAATAATAAAACAAAATTTTATTTTATATAAAACCCAAGAAAACAAGTTATAACTAGTATCTAAAGAGAAATTTCTTAACTCCTGGTACTAAATTTACCTC